AAAAAAAAAAAAAAAAAAAAAAAAAAAAAAAAAAAAAAAAAAAAAAAAAAAAAAAAAAAAAAAAAAAAAAAAAAAAAAAAAAAAAAAAAAAACAACAGGGATTGATTTTCCAATTGACAATCGAATACAGAGAAATAAAAAAATAAATAAATACAACGGGTGGATCGCACTAACCACCTCGAGTGGCTGGTGCGTGGCTCCTCTGTCTTGTTGATTAAGTATTTACCCTAGTTATCGCCAATCGAGTAACGAACTGATGGAGGTTAGTGAGGAGTGGATCTGATGGCCTGCATGATCCTTACCGACTCTCCCAAACCTACCTTGCAGAAAAAAGTTCCTCTCCAACCATCGACGTACCAACTAATGTGCACTGACGGTTCCCTGCGCTGCAGGCTGACACTGCTGTTTCCGGCAGTACTACGACCTATGGACTCGTTCATTATCGGCGTGACGGCAGGGATGGGACGGGATTGCTCGGCGATTTCTTTCGGATCCCACCCCTTCCCACTGTAACAGGGTCGCATCCCCAAAGAACCTGTCGGGAAACGCTAATTGCTTGGTTTTCACGGCTTGGCGATCCTTCTTTCAAGGTAAGAGAGGAGGATCTGCTGCGGGCGTCTCGGTGGTGGGGTGTGCAGATGGGATGGTTTCCTGGTTTTTGGTCCAGCCCGAAGGGGAATTTCTCGCTCAACTAGTAAATACGCCCGATTTCCTATTTTGCTAGTCTCCCTTCTGCCCTGTCGATGTAGGTGTACCGGTTTCTGTCAATGTCAATAGCACTGCGGTCGGTGAATTGAGGTCAATGCTACTTACCTTGTTAGTATATCACTCTTTGGTTCCGTAAATCATAATCATTCTGGCAACTGCGATTACCAGCTTATTCTTTTCTCCACCTGCATGCCCGTTGGACCGTTTCATGGTGTAGTAATTTCCTTTCCCAATGGTGTGATTCAGTTTATACCCCCTCTCCTAGACCTTTTCAGTTTCAGTTACAAAGTACATATTTCCCCAGCCCTAGGCCAGGCCCGGATCGTTATCATTGCTGGCCGCATTCTTTCGATCTCATGGACATCAAAATACTTGATGGGGATCTTCGTCCGAAGAAAGTCCGGGATCCGGGAGGCGGGAGCCACAACTGCTCAGCCACAGGGCCATTCACCGCCATGTGATAGATCGGATAGATCCCGACTGGCTTCCCACTGTCAACCCCATGCTTCATGCATGAGCGATCGATCCTCGGTGTCACGGTCAGGAATCCTCATAGGTCAGAAATGTAGTATTGCTGTCCTTCCTCATCTGTCTCGCCTGCAGCCCGCATTGACACTGCAACACGAGAAGGGGAAAGAAAGCTAAAACCGGCAAAGCCCAACGGAGCGAGGCCTGCATAAGTTAATTATCGAGAGGGTGAGGTGGCAAACTGACATCGGTCATTGATGGATCGATCGACATGCCTCGTATCTGTCTAGCTGGAAATGAAGAATGAACAGCGCCACCCCCTCTACGGCCAGGCCCAGCCACACACCGAGATCGGTTGGAGCCACATACGACGACGAGTCCTGGTTGACCGACTCTCAGATGCAGCCCCAGTTGTGAGGGAAAGGATCTTGAACGGGCCACGAGGCCGGCAATTTAAGCGCTCCCAATCGAGTTGCTCCGCCCAGCCGGAACCAAAATTTAGGGTCCTCATGACGCGGTGACAGCGCGGTTTCCGTCACCGCTCGGTGTGTTCCGGCCTCGTTTCCAGGTCCACGGGTCGGGTTGCAATGGTCTTCCCATGGTCATTCCTCGCGCCATCGAGATCGCCCTGATTATTCAGTCTTTTTTACTTGCCACCTCCTCCCTGGGCGGAATCTGACAGGATCTGCACTTTTAAAACCGGAGTTGTTACTAGAATAGTAGTCGACGTTCCCTGGTAACCTGCCATCGGGGTCAAATGTAAGATAACAAGATTGAGGACAAGCAAACCGTGGTAATGCTTATGAAAGGATCAAGCCTTCCCTTCAAAAAAAAAAAAAAAAGAGGGGACAAGGAAAAGGGGTAAAAATTGCAAAGGATTCGTCAGGCCAATTGACTCCAGAAACAGTCATTTCCAATCTATCAATTAAATATTGACTAATCAATGTTCCGTTTTGTCTATCAACAATATGCCAAAAGCCAAAAACCTTGAAAACAAAAAAGAAAAAAAAGAGTCTAGCCCTAAGTATGTTGCTATCAGCCATACGCGATACTGTACATAGAATGTCATTCATGTTCGCCCTCATTGGCAGAATCTCGTCACAAAGGAAAGAAATGAACAAAACGAAAACCAGCTACTATGTAAAGAGCAGAAAACCCCAAAACAGGAAGATCCGAACACCTCGAATGCAATCAATCATGTGTAAGTAATTATAGGAACTCCAAATTAGGAAAGAGAAGTCCTGTGGCTTGAGTGGTGTGAATCAATCCCAAGCGTCACAGCGCATGCTCGTACCACTGCGGACTGCTTTCATGCAAAAGGTAGGAATTGATTAGTGAAACGGTAGAGGGTATCAAGATGATCTCGTCGATGTCACTCGGGTCGTAGAGATAGCGATAAAAATTATTAAAGTCGGAAAAAGGAGATTCGTCAACCTGATCTCGTACGTCTATTCGGTTTTGACAACCTCTGTCCCATAAATCATGATGTACTGCATATGCCTCGTGATCGCGCTCCAATGAGAGAAAAATGAAAGAGTCGGTTTTCTCCTTGAATAGCCAAGGGTTTCCGGATAAAATAAGGCTCGATGAGGGCAACGTCGATCGAGGCAGAACAGTTGTAGGCGGTCATGATTGTTCACCTCGCCGAGGCTAGCTGGCTGGGGGATGGCATAGATTCTGAAGAGGCATGGTCCACATCGCTAAAGGGGGATTGGCGTTGGGAATCGAGATCACTTCCACCAGTTCGCATCTGGTTCCGGAGAGCAGGTAGCTGTCGCCTTCTCGCGTTGATAAACCAATTGCTGATCTATACGATCTTGTTAGTACGGACAACGATATGAGCTGCAGGCACAAGATATAATTACCTGGCTAATAGTGAGCCCGGTGCGGGTCATAAACATTTGCTTATCCTCCTCGCTAGGATATGGGTGGTCCAAGTGCTCGTGAAACCAGGCACGTAAAATATCAGTAACTGGTTTGGGCAGGTTCCCCCGCCGACGTTTGTTCTTGGAGTCAATCGGATCGCCCAAAATTCCGAAGTTCGAAGGTTGAGTATGCGACAATCCCTGCGGGGAAGTCTGCTCGGAATCGCTATGGTAGGCCATTGGGTAAGGATACGCCATCTGGTTATGCATGGCGGTCGGTCCATTGTAGGCATCTGTGCCACCTCTCTCACCCATTGGCAGAGGACGACTGGTTGAAGAGAAACCAGGCGCGGCGGCAGGTCTCCCCCGAAGCTCCTGTGTGGTAGGCCCAAAGGGATCCGGTCTCGAAAGCCCTCTGGAATCCGGGAAAGGCGCAGTCGACGCATTCAATCCATGTTGAAGATCTCTGATAGGCGGCAGAATAGGACTGGGACCACGGGAAGGGTAATGTGGTGTGTTCCGGGCCAGCTGGGGCTGAAAATGACCGAAATCTCCAGATAAAGGCCTGGGGTTGGAAGTCATATCACGGGTTGTTGATGCGGGACGCTCACGCGAATGTTGCCGAGCACTAAGATAGGAGGTCGACTCAATTTCATCGTGAAGGTGAGGGGGAAGTAGCTAATGACGGCATGTTAGTCACTACATTAAGACATGCGTTAAATTCGATCCGGGTCTGATGGTTGAACTCACCTCTCTGAAGGAGGGAAGGACCTGAGTATGATCGGCCGGCAGCCCACTCGCATATGAGATGGCCATTTTCTCAGAACCCTTGCCCAGTTCACGGGGCTGGGACATAGAAAGGAACAGTCGTAAGGGCGCGGTATGCGAATGGATAGGCGAAAACCTCACTTTACTGCGTAATCACAAAAGACCAGGCTCGGAGATATGAATGATCGCACAACAGTATAGCCGGCCTGCGGCTCCGACGATATATATATAACCCGAACTATTGGGCTATTCGGCTATGGGGAAGGATTCAGCGAATAACGCCGTTAAGATCAGAGATGCGATAGTGTGGGTGGTTACGGAATGGGCGATATAGTTTCCGGGGAATGAAGGAAACTGCGGGCAGAGTGATGGAAGAATGTAAAGGAGGGGGAATTATAATGTATTGGAGAGAAAAAACGAAGGATAAATGTCGACGACGAGCGGAAAAGATAACCTTATAGTGATAGGAATCCTCGAAAGAATTTGAAGAGGAATAGAGGAGGCATGGGCGAGCAAGTAATATAATAACAATTATACTTACCAGGAGCTGAAATAAGAGTAGCTTGACATTGCCGCACACGATGACGATGGAGACAGCTGAACCAAGGTTATGCAAGGTAGGGAGGGAGGCAAGCTCAACAATTGGATCTGGGTTAAGTGGATCAGATCTCTTTTAGAAAAATAAATTAAAAACTAGAAACCAAAAAAGAAAGAAGTTGTTGCTCGGATTTTCATTTTCATTTTTCCTTCTCTCCCCCCCATTTTTATTTTCTTTTCCTTTTTTTTTTTTTTTTTTAATTTTTTTTTTTTTTTTTTTTTTTTTTTTTTTTTTTTTTTTTGGGCTCGCCCTTTCCTTCCCTCAAGACGGAGTATTGATGACTGATTCATGTCCCCGATACAAAAATTTAGTTACAAAATTAAAAAAGGAAATACAATAAATAAAAAATAACGAATCCTTTTTCATTCGCTACTGCTTTTGATGTTGTACGCTGCTTTCTCTAGATATCCATCAAGACAGCCCTGATGTACACAGAAAAATAGATATATAATTTAAAATAATAATAATAAGTTAGAAAATAAATAAAAAAAAAGATCGAATGAAATCCTTGGTACGCCAGTCAATCACGCTCCCCCGTAAGCAGTTCCATATCGACTATGCTATCCATGGAAAGAGGCAACAGCAGGGATCCAAGCAGAAGTGACGATCGTGGTGGGAGTGGGGACGAGCCACAAACTACCGTCGACCGTCACTCCCTCCGTCGGTATCCAAAGGCATGCACAGGCTGAGGGAAGGGGAAACGAGAAAGAGGGGTCCGTCCCAAGAAAAAAATTAATGGACGAAAGAAAGTTTTACGATTTATCAAAATTGAATAATTCGTCTATTAGTTAATTTAATTCAATTTGGGCCGGGCCCTATCAGGTCGGCCCATTCTTAAGGTTGTCTTGACAGATGGGTCTGAGGGACTGGAAGCGACCTACGAGCCTGCAGATACCAAAGAGAACCAGAACCAGAGGAAACCTGGCCGGCAAACAAGAGAGGGGGGGGGGGGGGGGGGCTTTCGGGTCCCAGAAAAGGAAAGGAAAAGAAATCCAACACAGAAAAGCTACACTAGACTATCCGATCGTGTACTGGGCAGGCGGCATTGCAGAAGAACAGTTCAGAGCTATAAACACTGTACCTAGTACGGTGTCAACTGTCTCCCCCAGAACTACTTAGGTAGAACTATCCATCTGCCTGTCTAAGTACGGAGTAGTAGTTTCATAGGAATCCCGTGTAGATGTACTCCGCTTGTATTTATGTCTACGTGTTTGTATGAGATTTCCCGGAATGGGGTAACGTCGAATGCCTCAACTATTGCTAATCTCAAATTCATCGCTATCGCATTGCTGCTACCTCGAACCTAAAAAAAAAAAAAATCAATAAAATAAAACAAAAAATAATCTCACGATATGCCTCCAGGGCCGATGTATCGATCAGGCTCGTTCGATGTTTTCTTACCGTCATGGTTATAGAGCCTTGTGGACTTTTTGCAGTAAGTAAAACACGAGATGACAGCATTGCTAGAATTAGGGCCGCACTAAGCCACAAAGCATGGCTGAAACTTCAATCCACTGTCCCAAGAAGTTCATGACTAGTGGACTTCCAGAAACGAGCTAATGGCTTAGTTCTCGTTTTTCGAAACACCGTGTCCACTCTTAAGCTGCTACACCGACTTGGGTTAAGTGTTCTCTGAATGACATTGTGCCTCCAATGAGCGTGTGTAACTTAGTAGCACTGTCCTGTGCAGTACTATTAGTATTGGTCACACCAGTGGCGCAAATCTGTGTGTACTTGAGGCTATACCCACCCGAGTATCGAAATGCCTGTCTGACATTATGATCAGGGTGGAGAAGAATAAAGAATAAAATTTTTTTTGAAAAAAAATTACAATAAAGGGACGAAAGCAGAAAATGGGTGAACATGCCACTTGAGTCAGGTAGAAGTACAGGAATTGACGGAAAAATGTTCCATTACAAGTATACGGTGGGCTAATCCCAAGCGAATATTATGCTCTCATACCAAGCATGAAGGGCCTAATGGTAAACCCGAGGAAAATAGATTTGTAATTCCAGGACGGCCCCCGAGGTATTACTTACTACTATCTGCCCAGTGCAGCCGGCAGGTGTAAGGAAGCAAATAACTTTCTCTCAGAGCAGTGGTCCGGAGCAGGAATGGCTGCAAAGTCTAAAATAAGCCCAAGGGCCAGGAAGAATATGGAGGAAAGCTGGTACAGAGTATTTAATATTTCCAGAGATAAATATGACAAAAGAAATCTAGACAAAATTAGGCATACAGGTCTCCATAGAAATCAATTCCTCTGGAGTAGGCTTAAGGGAAGGGAAGGGAAGCGGGAAAGGGGACAAAATAAAATACAAATTGAATTTTTTTTTTTTAAAAAAAAAAAATAAAATAAATAAAATAAAATTCAGTTTGTATTTAACAGATAAAAAAAGGCGCAGCAGAAGTGAAAAAATAAAATAAAAATAAATCCAAGTGGTCGGAGATCGGCTGTCCCTCGCTGGGTTGGATCCACTGCTGGGCATCGCTAGTTGTGTCAAGGACGCGGAGGGTGAGTAATGGAGATCACAAAAACATAGCTTATACTAGACAGTGAGGTGCGTTAGGCGAATTGTGTAGCGATGACTTCTGTAGGGTGATGTGAACACCGACGGCAATGGCTGCCGCGCCCGCATCATTCCCGCTGCAAGGCAGTTCATAACGGGCATGTTCGATCGGGATACTCGTTGAGATATCACACTGGGCACCAGTGAGTGTCAGTGACAGGCGAACAGAGTTTAAACCCGACAGGGGGGAGACAAGGCTGTGTGACTTGGCTGACAGAGAGCTAAACCCAAGATTTTCATTCAGTCCTTGGCTGGTTGACAAGATATGTTCCAACCTCTCGGCCAGGGATCTGATCGCCCAGGTGTTCTTCGTGAAACCCCCACTTCTTCTTCCTTTCACCATGGGCTGCAATCGAGGGTGTTCAACTTGGATCCACGTCGGTATCCGGCTGCCGTCACTGTACGTCAGATCTTTTTCAACCTAAAACAAGGGCTTCTTTTTTTATTCTTTTCTTTTCGCTATTGTTTTTTTTTTTTTTTTTTCTGATTTCTATGTATAGTAGTGCATCCCCCTTTCAATATTTCAATGTAGTACCTTGCTCAGAAGGGACGGAGATTTATTGCAATAATTTCCATCTTTCCATAATTAGAGCATGTCCTGGGTTACTAATATTCACGAGATCAGGTGCAGAAGCATAGTACAGTACAGTACAGCAAGTGTGCCCCTCCCAGGAGGGGTGACATGAAAACCTGGAAATCACAGGTAGCTAAACTCACCAGCTCATGCGAATGAGAAGGCGTAGTGGCTGAATATGATTGGTGTGACTACCTATTAATATGCAAGATCCATTGCCCCGTGCATATGACATCTCAGGTCGTCGCCAAGGGGGGTGGGCAAGAGGGGAAAAGTTGACGTGCCGTCATCAAGAGATGGTAAGAAAAAAAATGGTTGATTAATATCGGATAACACTCGGGAGCTGGGGCTGCCACATAGGGTTTCGGAGTGCGAACATGACAACAGTAATCAAAGAGATCGTTTGACATTGGCCCTACACCACGAGGGATTCCTCGCCCCAAACTTCAGGTTGCCTGATCGATGGATCAGCCGAACTTTAAGGTCCATATTTTAAAGAACAACCACAGGAATTGCATGAGATGACAGGGACACGACTGGACCCAAGGATGGGTCATTTGTCACTCTTTCTCTTAGTAAGTAACATAACCTACTAGCGAGACGTTAACCGGTTGTGGAAGCCGGAAAGGAGTCGATGGAACGAACGGAGTACATGCATGAGACGGTTCCCCGATATGGTTCCAGTTCAGTTCATTGAACGATGCGACCAGGTCCACGACGCCTTCTTGATGGCAAAGCTGAAAAATGGAGCTGTGATGGAGATGAAATAATGAAAGTAGGATCCTTAGCGCGCGGGTTCAACTTGGTTCACCACTCACAGCGTCATGGCGTACTCCACTGGCAAAGACGATCGGAAAGCCGCCCATCAGACAGACCCGAGCCATTGGTTCTTCTTGGTGGGAGATTGCGGTTAGGCTGTGACACGATTACAGTACATGGTACTGGGAAAGGAGTTCGGTGGATGTCACTTGTCAAAACCCTGACTCTCCGGGCAAGGATCGACTTCATGCATGTACGCTAATATCTCTCCCTTTGGCATATTCATGCCTGAGGAATTCAAGCCATTGCCGTCGCCCTCCAATCATGCGTCACATATCAGACCCTGTAACACTTCCCGAGTCATTTGTCCAGGAGTAATGGCCAGTTGGTCCAGAGGGGGTTATTTTTCTTTGTTCTCCGTCCCCTGTTTCATTTCTCTCCTAGATCTGGAACCTGTCCGTCAGCCCCATGCCAATGCCGAGACTGGATTGAAAAATGTCACAACTTGTCCGGGTGGATGGATCTAGGGCTAGTCAAAAAACCTTAGCAAGATCAGCCTGGCTCGGCATGTCTCGGTCAATTCAGTTCCGATCCCAAAAGATCTAGGAAGATATCAAGCAAGGTTTAAGTTGATGGCAATAATTTCCGGACTGTTATCTCAAAAGAGGTTCACCCACTTGCTCGAGACGGTAGAAACCCCGGAAGCATACTTTGGTTCAACCAGAGAAACGGAAATTGAATCCTCAATAGTTTTGTTTTTTTCCAACCACTCGGTTGATCCATCAACAAATAAGCTTCAGCCGAACAATGCCGCCAGTCATATTGCTGGTCTGAAAGGAGCATCCCTCGTGGCTAGGTACAAGTATAGTTAGGTAGATTTTCGCTCATTACGGATGATTTGTCAGAATCTTCTACATAACTCGTGACAGACACGTAGCTCTTGAAAACAGCTACAATAATACAGACAGGCAGTTTGAGGAATCGATCTTCTTCTTAGAATCCTGTCCTCGTTGGCCTTACTTTCCTTTGTTAGAAAGTATATGTGTGGAACTTTTTCGTTTCCAGGAGTAGTGAACCCTCTCAGTAGTACGAAGATATTGGTATATTTCCGAGAGTTGTGAATGGCTTCCTTTCCCAACCATAACTGCAGGTGACGTACGAGACAGTCTGTCAAGGGGAATTGTGAACAGGCGAACGCCACTGGGGAGG